TTAATTATTCTTAGGTTATTACGAGACCATCAGCAGCCAACAAGAACTTCCCTTACCATGTTCGGACCTCCCAGATTGGCATTTTGCAGTCTAGTCCAAAAGGTGGCGAGGAAGGGGAGAGTTTCCCTCACCATGCATATGGGAACAGCTCCTTCCTCGGAGATTCTCAACCCAATTTCACTGAACTCTTCTCCATCCAGTCAGTAAGTCTTAATGCAAAGTGTTCTTGAATGCATTTGGATGGTTGATATGCAGTCAGGAAGGTTTCATTAGTGAACTAATAAAAAGAAAGAACCACAAACCAGAGTGAGATTTATATTATGGTTTATGTATTGTCTGTATACTATCTACTATAAATTCCCTATTATTTTGCAGCACTTGCTACACTTAATTAGATAGGGGCTCCAGTGTACTCATTTTCTGATGATTTTTGTGTGTCAAACGTAGCTTGAAATTAACTGCTGTCTTATCGAAGTGAAGTGCCGGAAAATAGAAAGTGATTGCGGAAGCGGTACAGTTTGTGAGGGAGCATGTTCTTAGGAATTATTTTCTAGCCAAACACTTATCTCCTCCAGGGGATGACACATTGCATAACAACTTGCCTGACATTAAAACACCTGAGTGAAATTAGATAAAAGTGCAAGCAGAAACGCTGGCAAGACTTAATTAAGTTGTTGTGTTTCTCTGACGAATGGTCCTGCTCCAGATACTTTCTGCTCTGTGGGTGTTGCATTTTATGCAACATAGATATGAGTGACAGATGAAGAGCTCCAATTTCCAGCTTAGCAATCCTCCTACAACACAGCAATGAACAAACATCTGAAATGATTTGCATTAAAAATGTTAATATTATGATGAAAAAGGAGAGTATTAGGGACATGGTCTCATGTTTTGACCCATATATATATATTTTTTTATTATTACAAATAACTTTTTGGTGCTCCAAACTTCCATATTGTGTTTGAGACACAGTTTACAAAACAAATAACTTTGTATTTACAGCAGTTTAGATTTAATGTCTTTGTCAAACAAAAGTAATTTTCTTGTAAAGCCTTTATTCATCTGCTTTTATCAATTTAAAGTTCTTTTAATATGAAAAAAAAATAAATTTCAGTATGGGCAAATCAGGGAATCTGCTGTATGCATGAATATTTTATTAAAAACATTGAAATTGTCTTTTAACCAATGGGTAAACACCAAAAATGTACCCTTTTGAACATAAAAAGGGTTTTTTCACAGATTATTTTAACATATTTGTCATATCCACCTCCAGAAACAGTAAATGCTCTTAACTGAAATGCTATCTCACTTCTTTAGTAGCTTCCAGATCCTCTTAACCTAAAATCTAAAACTGGTTGTAGTTTAGATGCCAAACACACCACTATAGCAGCCTTTTTTCTACTTTTTATGATCATCATAGACAGAAAACATACAGATCACAAATGCTTTGTATAAACTGTTCTCGATGTAGAATTGTCTATTTCAGATTTGAAGGCATTTGTTTTATAGATAGGTAGCTCTTAGTCTATACAGGAGCCAAAATGCCATTTAATGACTTATTATGTAAAAAAAAAAAAAAAGGAAATTTCATAGCATCTAAGTCTGAAGAAGGGACCACAAACTGTCAAACAGTCAGACCTGAGATTTAAGGTTCTATAAAACTTTCACTTTGTGTAACCCTTATATGGCTTTTATCAAATAAGCTCCATTCAGGCTGCATTACGGTGGACTGCAAAAATGACAAATGGATTTTTTTTTATGTTTTAAACTTTTTTCATTGCATTTTTCCACTTTTTGACCCAAAGGTCTTCTTCACTGACAGACCAATAACAATGAACCTGATCTATTAAACATGACTAGACTTTCTTTAGCAGCAGTGCAACCTTGATTTAAACTGTATAGTTTGAAGGGTAAGTGCTAGAGGTGAAAATTTGTAAAACATTTCTGTTCAAATCGTACATAACTAGGATCAGATAGGCAAGATAATGTGCACAAATTTATAAGATATTCTTCTTGTAACTTGACAGTTAAAAAGTACCTATATGAGATATGCAAATATGCTTAAAACCTTTCTACTTTTTATTTTTATAAGTTTTTTTTTTTTTTTTTTACCAAGATTCAGATTTTTGCCTTGCACTGAGAGCATTGTCACTTCAGCTTCTCTACACGCATTTCTATACAGTGCTTTGCCATTTTTAATATTTGGTCACATCAAAACCATGTAATTCAATGTATTTTATTGGGATTTGAAGTTGCACATACTTATGAAGTTGCATGAAATAATCTAAGGTGAGTGGTGTGCATTTATATTTAACCCCTATTTACTGTGATAGATCAATTAATCTTAAAAGTACCATAGTTAATATATAGTGAACCCTTGTGTAATTTTATCTGTGCGTACATCCAGCTGGTCTGTGAAAGAATCTGTCTGCAGGGAACTAAAAGCTGTGCACTAAACTAATCTGCTTCTTAAATGAGAATGGAAGGATAAGCTTCCGGATCCTAATCTAAGCATAGTATACATACAGTTATGGACGGGTCTGAATCTGACCATATTCATGCATTAAGAATGCTCTAATCAAAGTCTGGACTCAGATCCAGTCTATGGAAAGACTTTAAATTGTTATTTACAGACGTTCTATCCAACAGAATGCTGCAGAAAAAAACCCATAGCAACTACCAACTTAACATGAAATTTAGTTCCATTTAAGATGAAGGGTACCGATGCACTAAAATGATTTTGATCCTTATGCAGATTTCCTGCTATTTATAAACAAATCTTTCATATCAAACTTAATTTATTAACCTGAAAGATAGATTAGATGTTATGTTTTCAACTTTTCAGAGGTTATTTGCGCTGACGTTTTTCCAATCTAGTATATTTTTTTTGTGTGGATGGTTAGAATTATATATGTAGTAAACCAATCGGATGAGACTTGTTTGTTTTATATTCCAGGATCCAGTAAAGACTGTGGAAGAGACTGTTGCTCGTAAAGGGCCTGTTGTGCCAAGGAACAGCGAACAGAAGATCATTACCACTGCTGCAGACTTAACCATGATATTGCCACCACCTCCACCTCCGATACCCCCACGCCCCGCCTCACGCTCACCACCAATGCCCCCTCGTCTCCCATCCTTCACAGAGTATTTCAGCATGCAGGGTGGCAGTGGAGCAAGCTATGGGACGAAGGCATGACGTGGATAGGAAACAAAAACTGGCAAAATAATAAAGGCTACAGAGAGAATGTACAAATCCGGTGGGAATCACAGTGTCAAAATGGTCATCTCAAAAAACAGATGTATTATAGATGCTGGGGAAGACATGAGAAGTCATCACAAAAGTAAATCCCTTAATGGTCCTTTAAACCTGCAAATAAAAATGACCTTTATGGAGAAGTTAGAGGTGGGTGGCTAAGACACAAATGCTGAGGTTGTAAAAGAATAAAGAAGCAATAAATATTTGATGTTGACCCGTTGAAGGCACATAGGGAAAAAGATGACAAAGTGGATGTAGCCAGAGCAATAGGATGACAGCTGTGCACAATGTGGAAATGAACAAAATTCTTGAAATACTTTCGTTTAAAAATTTATGAGGATTTGATGGTGTGCCTGGTAGAGTTTGTAAATAGCAAAAACTGTTGAGAGCAACAATTCTGTACAGTTTTATTTCAAAGGATATTAATTCATGCTTTTCTTTTCCCTAAACATGACATTCCAGTTGGAATAGAAAAATCTAATGCCATAATATGTTTAAAAGTCATTAAAAAAGAAATGTTTTTTATGTTTAGGACATTTTTGATAAAACTTAGATATATTTATGGTATATGGAGTCTGTTGTGTTTATTTATATTCTTACTGTATAAGCCTTCATTGATGCTGGTTTATCAGAATCGATATGCTGATGTGTAACCTGTAAATTGTCACATTTACTCTGAGCACCTCCAGTTCAGTACTTGTAAAACATGCATGTTTGTGTTCTATTTCTGGTTCGAAAAGCAGGTAAACGTGCTCCATGTGACCATAGAAATATTGGCTTATTGTGTGTATTGAAATCAACACTTCTGTAAATACATACAATAGGTTGCAGTATGGGTTTTGTCTGCAACATCTTTGTTCTTTGTTACCTAGATAAAAGTTGTCTTGCAAAAATGTGTAACCTAAAATTAGAAGTAGGCATGGGCTGGTATGACATTCTGAGATATAAGCTTGAGCAGAAATACCACATTTAAACACCAGATTACACAACAAAAAGAAGCTAGGCAATGTCACCGCGTGTAAAAGAAAATATGCTGTAAAAGACGGTTTTACTGTTATTTTAAGACAAAGACAAAATGATCAGTTGAAATTTTTAGCAGTCTTTAGTAACTTATATAATTTAAAGCATGGTTTGCATCAGTATTTAACAGTTTCTGTTTGTGTTGTGTATGGATTGTAATTTGACCATATCAGGCCCCCATTTCCTTCCGTTTCATCCCATTCACTTTTAATTAATATGCCTTTATACTCTATTTTTAATGTAGAAGTTCTGATAAATTGTGGAGACCTTTAATTATAAAAAAAGGAGCTGATATAACCTGTGTCCAAACTTACTAAATAATGTTATTGTGCAACCAGAGACTAAAAAATCTGAGTTTTCAGTTTCCTACATGCTGATCACTATTGCAGGCCAGTCCCCTGTCTATCTGTTGATCTATGTTTATAAATATTTGTAATTTTTTTATAACATGGATTTATGTGGAATATTGCTATAGCTCTATAACGCAGTTGGCTCATATTAATTTGTATGGATCACTAGCTTAAGATGATTATATATTTTCAGCATTTGATGTGTTCTTGATGCTCCCTGCGGGCTCCTAAAATAACGTCCCCTATATAACTTGAGAGGGTCAGATCCTGAGCGTAATTTTACAGCAGTCTGAGCTCTGATTAAACACAAGAGCTAATGCTGAAACGTATTCTTTCCTTTAGCTTAACACGGAGGAGGCAGATCTTGTGAAAATAAACAGTATTAACAGTTTTCAAATTTCTGCTGTTTGCAAATATCCTTTTGACAAAAAACAAGCTCATGTTAGCATGCAGCTGTGTCACACATGGGAAAGGTTGCTTTCATTTTTCGGTGTAATTGCTTCTTATTTCCTTACAGTCACTTTTGGTAACTAGATGATATCCAAGACAGCTCCACTGTTTTTTGTTTTTTTTGTTATTATTTTATTCGGTCACATTCCCTTATATCACACATAGTGCTTAGCAAAGTTAGGGCTGCTACATTTAAGAAAAAACTCCACACTGGTTTATTGTGTGGAGTGGTTAGACTAAATATCATCCATATGTTATAAAAATGGGACTTTTTCTAATAATAAAACCAGATATCTGTCCATTTCTTATAAAAACAATATACTGTACTGTTTTTAATTAGTAGTTTCACTGGAGTGCAGAATATCTGTGTGTTAAGTGGTTGTATCTGTGTCAGTGGTGAATGTAATGATGCAATACAGCACAAGGTAAGGGGTGATGCTTAAGTCACTCTGATGCATCACTTCAGCTTTATCTGATTTATTTTGCTCTAAAGGCTTCCATCTTTACCACTTCCATGATTGTAAAAAACATGGCGTCTCTGTGAGTTTTGCTAATTTGCTTTTCTTTTCTTTTTTTATTGGTCAAAACCCAGCAATGACTAACAATTTTTAAAATATATATATATTTATTAAAAAATAATAATAAATATAAATGCACTGTTTTTACTTAAAAAAACAGATGCAAGGAAATTTTGAATTTTGTTTTGACGTTAGTTTTTATTACCTAATCCTTAAAGATCCTAAATACAGTAGACCATATTCCTGCTTTCAATATGTAAGATTTAGCTTGAAACACATCTAAATTTACAGAACCATGGAAAATAGAAGCTTGGGCGAAGATAACTAGTTTTTGTTGTTGTTGTTGTTTTTCTTTAAGTTGTGAACTATTAAATTAGTCAAAACCCCTCCAAATACCACCTATGTGTAGATGGGGATGTCAGGAGGCGAAGCATAAAGGGTATCATTTCTGTTTCGTTCTTTACAACAGAAAGAGGATTGTATATCAATTGTGTATCTTGTAGTTTAAAACAAAAACCAAATAGCCAATCTTTTTTTCTCCATTGTTTTCTATTACTGGCTTACAAAAAAAGCACAGACTCGGAGAAGAAGAAGTAACTTAATTCTCACCCCTGTCTTGTATCTGAACTACAGATCCTTTTATTTGTTGGCTTTTTACATCTTAATGTTAAAACCGTGCAAGAAGCTGAACAAAAATAAATGCTTTTGTATTTCCTGATATGGAGAAAAAAAAAGTCTTAGTAGAAGAGCTGGGAAAGCAGCAACATAACTGTACATTTTGTCTGTCCTGCATGGAGCACTTTAATGTTCCTCGTCTCGGTCTGTTTTTTGTTTTTTGTTTTGAGCAGATCCATCTTATAGGAGTGCTTCAAAAATTGTAATCACACTTGAAGGAGAATTATTCCAGCTATGTCTACCTGTAAATATGGACTGAGATGTTTTTTCAGACATTTTAGGGAATAATTCATTCTATGTTCAAAACTAAATCAATTATTTTATCCTGAATTAGAGATACGCTGGTGCTCAGCTTTGGGCCGACAGATTAATCAGCGGCAAACTTGTTGTCATGGAGTACCGATGTTAGGACTGTAGTTTGTAACCTGTACGAGTGTTTCCAGAAGTGTAACTTTGTGAAACTGACTGATACTTGAAATAGAGTACTAACTGTTGCTTCTGAATATGTGTCTGGTTTGTATTTGGCATGTCTGCCATGTTGTTTGCTGTTGCCATGACAAAGAGAGACAGGGATGGGCTTACTGATATTGTAACACTGCATATGACTCTCGTTTAAGCTCACGTTTAGATTTGGAAAAGTCTTGTTGAGAGTTTGAAGCATGACATAGAACAGCACAGCTCTTTGGCTACTCAGAGCGATCTGGTCGAAAGCACATCACTAAAGCACCATTCAGATGAATTGTAATGGTGTCAGATAATTATTAATTATAAAGACGCTGTACATACACACTTTTTGCCAAAATAAGTAATAAAGTATGGTTTTATGTAAAGCCTTGTGTGTCTTATTTGCTTCCTGTGTTAATGTGGGATCTTATTGCATTCCAGTGAGGAACCTGGGCAGGAGTCCAAACATAGTAAATCTGATATTTGTTTGTCGTGTTTGGAATTTGTTCTAATTATGAGGGTCTATTAAAGTCAAACACTCTGGGGATGGTATCCAGTCTGGTCCTAATCTGAAGCTGGCAGACCTAAATGTTTCATAGCTAATAGCTTTATCTGACTAAACTGTTGAGTCAGAAGCTAGAACTGAGCTTGGCGTAAATGTATTTGGATAAAGTCCTTTTTTAACTCTTATGAATTAGTCCTAAAGTATATTTAAAAACCATAGATAAACTTCTTTTTCCTTTCATGTGAGAGTTATCACATTTTTAACAAGTATTTTATTTTTGTCAAGGTTTGATAAGTGTTATTTGAAGCACATATAAAATTACAGCTGCTTCTAAATAAATGACAGTATTATTGAATTTTTTACTTTTTTTATTTAATACTAACTAGAAAAATCAATAATTTAAATAGTCTAAATTCAATAAACAATATAGAAATATCTGCCAACTGAATAGCATATCAATGTGTTGTACATCTTTTGCACATAGTCTATATTATGAATAAATTACTCTATCAATGTATCAATCTCTATAACTGTGCAATAATATATGCCAACTACTGTGTAATTTTTTTAAACTTATTTATAAGGTCATCTCTGCAGTACAAAAGCAATAATCCAAGTCAGCTAGTGTGTAGTCTGTTTAATTTTCACTTTTTATATGGTCAGTACTTTTCTGCAGTGCAAGTGCAATAATCCAAGTCAACTACTTTGTATTCTTCCATTTAGCTCTCTACTGTGCAGGTATTTTTATATCTAGGGGAAACATATACCAGGACCTTACAACTGGTTTCTTTTTTTTTTTTTTTGGTACTATATGCACTCTTTTCATATTGTCTATCATATTTTTATCTTTAATGGCATCTTGCTTTAACTCGTTTTATTCTATATAAGCTATTGGAACTATTATTTCCCTGTAGAAGCAAACCCAAGGGATAATTAAAGTCTAAAAATCAGATCTTTAGATGGTTTATGGTTTTAAGAGGGACATCACCTTAATCTGTTTGAAGGTTTTAAAATAAAGGCCCAATTAGTGTGACATCACTTTAACTCTCACTTAAGTTGTTTATAAAGATAGACACCCCTATTCCATGAAATAATTGTTTATTATTGTTTTCCAGCTATCATTCCTCAAAAGTGCCACCTTCACAATTTTTATGCAGTGCTGGTATCATTTGAACTGCAAAGTTATTATGAAAATAAATTTGATGGACTATAAAGTGAGGAAAACCAACATAAACTCAATTAAAAGTAGAAAGCAGTCATTCAAGAATTTTCTCAAGAAATTGTAAAAAAGTACTTGGTTAAATGGCTCCTTAAGTACAGTTAACTGTTGGCTCAGTTAATTATGAGCAATTATTGGTATTTCTAATTATAAATTAAAGAAACAGAAATATAGAATTATTAGAAAATAACACATTTAGGAGGAAGAAGCGCTTTTCCACATTATTTTACTTAACTTGAACTTTTAAAACTGATCTCTATAGAAGTTAATGTGTATATCTTAGGAGTTGATGAAGAACATCCAATGAAAATGTCTGTTCACGTGATCACAAAAAACTCCAGCCACTCTTGGTGGGCGGGTAGCTGCAACAAAACTCTTAGTTGAGTAACCAGTAACTCTACTCTAGTAAGAGTAGCGTTCATTTAAAAGATTATTACTCAGGTAGAAGTAAAAAGCCCAGCACAGTGAAACTGCTCTTAAAAGGTTTCGACTCTTCCATAGATGTACAATCCTCTTCACTTTATTGTGATTAAAATTTGAGAGAAACGAGCTGTACACAACTGTGTGTTTACCAGTATAAGTTAGACATTTGCTTTCAGTTATAGTTAAGATTTAAGGAGGAAACTTAAAAAAAAAAAAAAAATTACATTGTTGAAACCCATAAAGAGTTAAAGAAACTTTATACAAAATGTAAAATTAATGCTTAACATTTAAGTCCTTGTTGCATTTTTGTAAATGATTTTCTGCTCTTTGGAAAACAGTTATTGAATGGTGCCATATTTTTATATGGATTTGTTTTGTTTTTGCTAATGCTTCACCTTTATCTAACCCTGCCTATTATTCAGTTTGCGACGCACAAGAGACCTGTGAGTTCATTATATGTCATAATAATAAATAATGCCACTTATTGTCATGACAGGATGGATTCAACCATAAGGAAACGATTCTTTCAATTTTCTGATATAAGTATTGGTGGTGAATAAGAAGCCTCTGCTGCTTTGGTTCATCATCACAAGAGGTGGTGACATAAATATCAAAAAACATTATCAATTAAATCTAAATAAATTATTTTAGTTTAGACCCTACAGCTGGAAATCTGCATAAATTTAAACTTTTAAAATACTGAAGACATGAAAAAAGGAAACTTTAGATAATTAACAATTTATTATTACATGACCAGTAACTTATTTTACAGATCTCTTGATTTCAGCTCACAGAAGAACATAAAAACTGTCCATGTGAGGAAATGCATCAAGTTGCAGCATGAGAAAACCAAAACATGGTAGAATTAGTTAAGCCTGTGCAGCCAGCATTCTTGCTCTCTCCTCTCTATAGCCTTTGAGGAGCTGGTTGATGAGGGTCAGTTCATTCTCCTTCCTCACAGGATAAAGAGGTGGAAAAGGGTTGCCTTTGTACTCCAACACGGCCATCTTGGCTCTGTCCAGGTTCTCTCTGTTGGGGATCCGGGCCATCCGTGTGTAGCCAGTCGACTGGTTTTCATAACGCGGAGCGAGGACTTTAAAGAGCTTTGGAACAAGGTCCTTCTCCTAAACAGAGGAATCAGCAGGCAAACATTAAAATCATCTGTGTTTTCCTTAATCTTGCACAGTTTTTAAACGCATATGGATGAAAAAAGCTGCAGACTCATACCGTGAGCCAAAAATTGGCCATTTTCATTGCTTTTTCATCGGTGTCTCCTTTCTTGGCATAGTCAATGAGCTGGGAAGGTGAAACAAAAAACATCTCCAGTCAGAAACACCTTTAGTCAGTTGGTTCACATTGTGCTTCATGATTACATATATATACCTATAAAAAATAAGGGAAGTTTTACATGAGGGTCAACAAACCCATTAAATCGGTAAGACTACCTGAAGCTAGAAGTTGGAAGTGTGTGTTATTTAATGATCATGACTGTAATGACTGGTTAAATTACTTAACTATTCAGAGAGAAACTAAAAACACCATTACCAATTCTGTCAAGATTTCTACAATATAATTTCTTATTAATTTATTGCAGTTAAAAGAGCAGACATGACATTAATACATTTTTCTGGGATGGTTTAAAATGTTCATTCATTCAATAAATTATGGAAACAACCTATTTGATACTGTAGTCATATGTTTAAGAATATATCTTTGTTTCAGTAAATCATTCACAGTTCTGTGTTTCAGCATACCACCTATTTTCAGTCTTACGTTTGTGGGAGGGGCAGAAAAAGAGCAAAGAATTAAAGTTACAAGTTAACCATATTCAGTGTCTAAGAAATGAACAAATTACAATAAGCATGGATAAAATGATTTATTTAATGACTCAAGTGGAACGTTTAGTTCTCCATGCTTCATCAGTAAAAATAATAATGCATCTGAACAAGTATATGATAAAAAAACAAAACTGTCCTTTTAGATCCTTTAAAATATTCATACTGCTGCTACTATTAGTTGTCAGGTTCAGAACTGAATGCTTCGTCTGTATGTTGATATAAACCTTTGAATTAGAGGGACATTTGGGTCAAGAGGGAGAACAGTTTCTGCTAACTAGGATGCATGTTTAAATATCCTCAGAGCATAACAGCAGTTTGGAGAGTTTAGGCCTGTGCAGGAGCTCCACCTTCTGGGTCGACTTTGATTTTTGGACTGAAAAATTTAAAGGGATTGCATAAAAACTTAGAGAGATGGAAACCATCCTCAGCAAGTAAATATCTGCTAGGGATCCTTGATGTGATGAGCATCAGACCAACACAGAATGACTCTTTATTTGCATTTACCAGCAAGAACTTTGAGACTTTAAGAGTTGTGCAAAAAATATACCAAGTAAAAATCCAGAAAAGACCTTAGGGGCATTTTATGTTGTTTATGTTTTTCTATTGGACTAAATTCCACTCTGTCATAAAGTTAGTGTTTTTTGTTTGTGAAAAAACATGGTAAGGAAGTTTATTTTGAAACTTTATATACCGGTAATCTTAATTCACCAGCTTTACCTACAAATCCTTAAAACCAGACATTTACATCTATCAAATAAAAAGACTCGTAACAGTTTTTCATAGCGATTGACCGATACACATCTTCTATGGCTGATGTCAATACCGATTATTTGGACAGTCTAACTGATCCCTAAAATGTGCTGGGGATATTTTTGGGCCGAATCTTGGAGCCAATATCACATTTTCTACCTTTATTTAATTAATAAAAATGACCCCCTGGTGGCAGTTACACAATTCTCAGTCTAAACAAAATAGATTTTTTTCACAAATCAAAGAAAACCTTAAAAATGGATAGCAAGTAGTGAATTTGGTTCCATTATCATTGTAAGCGAATAATACGCTTTCTAAATTAAAATGTTAAACCAATAAATTTGAGAAAAAAAGAAAAAGAAAAAAAGGGAAAGTAAAAAAAAACAATCATAATGGAAAAAGATAACTTTCATAGTTCATTTTTTTTTTATCTAAAATTTAAACTTAACTGATTTTTAAATTTTATTTGTTTAGTATGGGAAGAAAGTCAGAATTCAGATTTTTTTTCTCAGAATTCAGACTTTAATCTCAGAATTCAGACTTTAATCTCAGAATTCA